CTGTTTACACGTCGCAGAAGACCCCTAATTCTGATCTTAAGAGCTTCTGTCGTGCCCCTAATTATAGTTTTATATGTTGTATCATCATCTAATGCCTCCAACATTTTCCTACATAATAAGTCTTATCCGTAGCTACTATTGCTCCTCCTTTTTATGCCCTTAATATTAGTTTATCGTTCTTTTTAAACTTTTTCTTAATACGAAGAGAAACTGGGTTTCGATGAATCTCCTGAGATAACATTGTTAGGGGAACCTTCATTTCGTATGAAAGTCCAGTTGTCTGCCATACTAGTTGTCATGATTCCCATCATCAGACAGTGGACTTGGTACATTCTAAAACCTTTCGCCGGCATCGTAGTCGGCATAATTAGTGAGTTTTGCCTTCTTGACGAGATCGTAGCTTGGTGCGGAGAATGACAGCACTCACTGATGATACCGACTACGATGCCGGCAAAACGTTTGAGAATGTACCAAGTCCACTGTCTGATGCTGGAAATCATGACAACTAATATGGCAGACGACTCCGGACTAGGTGCGTTCTACTAAGTCGCCCTAATAACAAGACCAAGTTGCAACAATGAGGTCAACCCACTTATATAGTTTTATATGTTGTATCATCATCTAGTGCCTCCAACATTTTCCTACATTATAAGTCTTATCCGTTACTACTACTGCTCCTCCTTTTCATGCCCTTAATATTAGTTTATCGTTCTTTTTAAACTTCTTTGTGATAGTCTTTATTGTCCTATTCGTATATGGTGTTTCTACATGACCATCAATTAAAAGGACAACTTGTAATTTAATGTCACTTTTAGTATACTCTGGAAAGCTATCCGCTTAGCTGATCAATTCTATTCAAATTTCCTCTTCGAAGTCCTTACCATTTACAAAGGCAAAGTTTAGGCCCTTTGCTACGACCTCCTCAGTAGAAATGTCCAATGAAATGTTTGACAGATTTATAACTATCTAGCAATGGCTTTCTTTACCCTTCAATTCATTAGAAATGGGTCGTTGTCTTGAGTTAATTCTTATACCCAACTTTCTTAATTTATTCTACTATGTCTTTCTAACCTTTCGAACCACGTTGTCATACAACCTATCGGCTCACTTTGGAGTTTAAGAAAGTCTTTCGGACTACGAGCTTCGGATAAGGTTTGCCTTGAGTCTAATATCTTGGTTTAATATATATTTTGCTCTTTTCGGTAATGTATGCATTCTTGCTCTGAGGATGTCTGTCACAATACGGACGATAGCTTAACACAGTTTCATTAGGGTCGTAGGATGGTGAGCCGACGACTTCTTCGCACAATTCAATATTTTTTCATACACAGCAATCCTCCTGCTTCCGGCTCGATCATTTAACAGATTCGTGCCAACCAACTTTTATTCGAATTGGAAACTTATTTCACAATATATCACCAAGGCATTCTTCAAAACCCAGTTTTTCTTCATATTGTTGGGTTGCTCCTTATTTTGTATGAAATCCATGATGAAGAGATTCGATGACCTATTTCTCCAGAGGACGACGGCTGATTCCCAGACCTCAGCAATTTGGCCTTAATAAGACCTTCAGATTTACGCAGTCGACGAGACATGTTCTCTCTTTTTGGGTGAAAACGGGCTAGGTTTTCTTTCATTATGTTATGGACTCATCAGAGCTGGAACTTATTCTATATTATTCTGTTCCCTTAAATTTTAGTTTTATAGTTTTGTTTATATATAAGAGATTAAGGTCGAACAGTCTTTTTAATCTAGTGTTCACATGGGACCTTGATAAATCCCCAGATATGGTTGAGGGAGAAAATCTGAGAAAAGGCTCAATCTTACGAGTATTTACTCTTTCTATCAGTTGCACATGCTTCATTTTTAACACTTCGTTTTATGAGCAAGTGCAATCCATTACAATTGAACTTTGTTTGGCTCCCATTTTAGTGAATACTTAAACGTCAAGAAATGAGCAATGCTTCTAACAAAAGGTAAGACTGATTCCAAAACTGTTAGCTAGATATATGGATGACTAGTTTGCCGTATAGCAGCATGCCAATGATAATTTAAATAATTAATTAACAAAATTGATTGAAATGTTAAGATCATGATGGAGATAGAGAAGGTTAATAATTTAACCTTTTTGGATGCTTTAGTGATCAAAGTAGGCAAGAAGTTAAGCGTGGATCTATCTATGAATCAAGCACTGGATAGCTGAGAACTACCATGGTAGCCATGGTAATTTGCATTATTGGATCATTTACTTGGTAAATTTCCTGAAGTTTCGCCCGCATCATCAGTAAGAGGCGCCAACTTTAGCACCAAGTTGCCACTCGTCAACATTATAGGTGAAGACAATCGTTTTGACCAATTTTCTGTTCAATCATCGTGACCACCGTCATCCCACATCCTCCCTGTTCTAGCCACTAGTGCTTTATCCTCATTCCTCAAATCCACTTTATATGCCCAATTTGCCTATCTAAATCCCACTGTACCTTTTTATTTGCCAGTGTCTTCCAAAGGAGTGTCGCTTTAAGGTCAAACCTTACTTTTACGGCTTCTTTCGACCATATAATATTTTGTGCTGTTTCTATAACTTCATTTTTTTATCGACCACATCCTGTCTATTAGTATGATTTTTCGAACAATCTTTTTCTCTTGTCGCCTTAAAAGATTTATTTTTTCCTATATTTACTTATATATCATAATCTCCCTCTTTGTTCCACCTTAACTTCAACTCAATGTCGTGGTAAAATTATTCTTAAATTCTTAGCGTATATTTATTTTCATGGTATTTATATCTTTAATCCTTTTAGCATTTCTGTCAGCTCTTAAAGATGCAAAAGAAACTATGCCATATTCAGTTGCCATTTTCTTTGGGCTCTTCGTTCCTGTTCACCGTCATATGTCATTACTCTTTATTAGCTCCTTATTATCCACTTTTATAGACCTGCGCCTGGCTGATTCGACATATCATGCGACCACATTCACCACTAGCCCTCTGTTTGTTGAGAGGCCTCGATGCTGGTGTTAGTCACACGGACAGCTCTCGGCTGGCAGACTCAAAACGTTACTTACATCAGCATGCTCTACCCAGTCTATTGACTGGTATCTTCTCTCGTTTGCGGTTTTTGGCGGGCCGCTACACCGAAGAGATTGCCTCGCCTGGTCACACAGTCTTGGGCAGACATAGCGCTTCTTCACTCAAGTCTGAAGGACCGATGTATGTCACTGACTCTTTTTTTCTTCTTTCCCAGATTGATGATTTTACTTTTTTCGTACTTGAGGGCTTTAGAACCAGATTTTGCTATAATCTATTTGCTGAAATATTTTTAATAAGCCTTGTATACACCAGCATTACATTTTATTGAGTCCCATTCTTCATTTATATTAACAGCCATTTTTATTATTTTGCACCATTTTTTATGGCCCTATGGTTGTTTCGGTTTAACATACATTTGTGATGGATCCGCTAATGATGCTCATGAAATAATACACGACCTTCCAAAAAATCGTCCATCCATATTCAAATTTATTCGCATTTTTTGCCTCGTTAAGCTTAATTTGCACTCTCATTTGTATTATGGCTTAACTTATTTCATCATAGTTTCTATGGGACCAATTCACTTTATATTGGTCACCAACAAGACAATCAGGTAGCAGGGCTGTTCGGGGCATATATCTTATAATTTATCCAAAAAGTTTACATCGTCATTTATTAGAGCCATTCTTAGCATCGAGCTCTAACAGGAAAACAAGACGAACGAGTCCATTAGCAGTCTGTGTCTCATACAACCGGTTGACTACTTTCGCTCGATCCTAGTTGCTATATCTTTCGCACTCGAAGAATTGTTCATATGTTTGGTCCAATACTTATGATCATTTCATCGAAGCGTCTCCACAAACCGTGATTATTTTACCGCACCTCCAGGCCCTTGTATTCAGAATCATAATTTAGTT